AAAAAAGCAACAACAACAACAAAATTAAATTTAAATTTCAAATTCAACAAGTAAAGTCGAACAGGCGAAAAAAATGCTCGGATCGTTTTTTTTCGATTTCATTATTTTGACGAGCGCCTGATTTCACCACGATATAATATTTATATAGTGGTGTCCAAAAGAAAATTGAAAATGTAATCATCCAATCATCGTCTTATAGGCTTGCACTACCCACTCATACAGCATACCAATTTAAAACTTATAGATTCTACATCATCTGACACATTAATATTTCATCTATATTAAGAGACGCTAGAGATACGGTTACTCAAAAGGTACCTTAAAAAATTAGGCTTGGCAAAATTGTGCGAAATCAAAACGCAAAAGTGTGTTCGCGCGTATATTGAAGTGCCATAACATTGTGTAATGGGCATGTATTGAATATCAAATAAAATTATTATTGTCTCTGGCATGAACAGCATCTTCTGATGATGTTTTCAAACAGATTGGAGAACAAAGCAATTACAAATACCACACAAAACCTGGACTCACTATAACATGTGCCCATTAGTATTAATTTTGTTTTTGTTTAGGAGCTATTGGTTTCGTGTAGACCACGAAACTGTTTTTTGCACGTGGATGGTGTTAGTTAGATTATTTTGGACATGATTATCTGACAGTGAGGAACAGAGGCCACGAAACTGACATGGTTTTGGGTAGTCTGGAGTGGAATGAACAAAACCGCCCTCATGAGAATCACCGGATGGCTTGGTTTAGTGGTCTACATACCGCAAGTGCAGGAACGTCATAATATGTCTTACCCTTATTTTCGTCATGGTGTCATTCAGTTAGACATCTCCATGCTTAGCAAAGAACTTTCTCACGGGGCCGATGTCGTTAGATAATTCTTGGAAAACCAAATAAAATCAACGTTGGAGTGGTCTCCAGTAACTAGGCCCGGTATAAATCCTACAGGCATGTGAAAAGTGAAGTATCATGCAACAGAAGGTGAAGAAAAGCTCTGTTTCCAATTCACAACCTTTGTTTGCAACTCTCTTTGACATTTGGAATGAAATTACAGGTAATTATATCCAAAATTTAATAGATTGGATGCCCAAAGGGTTCGTGCACTACGGAAAACTAATGGCTCATCAGCGAAATAATAATGAGCACAATGTTCAGTCCAAGTTTTGCGTGGTATTTGTGATTACTTTGTTTGAAACTATCGTGACAAAATAAATATAATATTTTTTATTGCAATAAAAAATTCTCCATTCATTGGATATGTAATGCACGTCCATTCTATCCCTATTGATCATGCTCCTCAATACACGCGCGAAAACAATTTTACGTGTCTTTGATTTCGCCAATGATAGTACATAACACTATCTTTGATTTCGCTCAATTTGCCATGCCTTATTTTTTAAAGGTCGATTTTGAGTGACTACACAATATAGGCCTACTTGTATATCTCGGGGGTCTTATAACATAGATCATCTAAGATTAATTATTGATGTTTCAGATGGTACAGAATTTATTTACCTTTAAATTGGTATGCTGCATGAGTGTGCTGTGCAAGGCTTTAACACAATGATTGGGTCATTATAATTTTCAAGTTTCTTTTGGACGCCACTGTACATAAGCGTTGCCGTTTTACTTACAGTATGGACTTGTACAAAGTTTACGAAATCTCAGGGGACGCTGCAACGAATTTTAACTCATTGACGTTGCTATGGCCGACTTGAGAGAGAGAGAGAGAGAGAGAGAGAGAGAGAGAG